AAATATATTGTAGGTCCATTTAAACAAATTGCCATTAGTATAAATGTTGTTTTTGTAGAGCAACAGCAACACGCGAGCTTTGTGTCCTGTCGGGGCGATAGGTGAGACTACACAGGCGAGGGGAGACAAAGTGGTCACCGTGGGCCGCCAAGTCGGGGCTGGGGAGGGTTAGCGCTTGCGCCCCTATTGCTATACTCAGCCGTGCCAGTGATAGGGGTGGTTATGGAGATAGTGGTGAGGCGACCGAGGGGGAATCGATCAATCGGAGACGGCCGGCGACCCGGCGTCGTTTTTCCCAGACCGGAGTGGCATAACGCGGGCCAAAGCGGTTTATTTACACCACCATCATCATCATCGACGGTGTTTATTATAAACGTTATATTATAATGATGGTTGTTATTATTATAATTAATGCAAACGGTTGTTACGCCGGTCAGCTGGCGCAGAGTGGAAGTTTTTAATTCCGGCCTCTCGGGTTGCTCGCTGCTGGGAATAATGAATCGCACGATTAATAATAATAATCCAATCGAATTGGCCCGGCTTCGGGAAGAAATCATATCGGGCCGCCCTTAACTTCGTTTCTAGTCACGTCCGTCCGGTTCCGGTAACATTATCGCCGGATCGCCCTTTGAATGCTTGTAGCCGTTCACACGTGTAGAGAAAAGTTTGCAACGATAAGGTTTTGCCATGTCCAGACAGACGTTCAATTACATAAAAAAAAGTCAGCGTGTAATTTTTATTTTGTTTATTATCAAACAAGTTTACTTAAAATCTGTGCACATAAAATATTCAATAACCGAATAGTTAATGTTTACTAAACACGAATACTTCATAAGAGTCCAGCGACCCCACTTCAGTAGCTAGTATTAATAAATATATTTCGTTTATGAAGCGGGGATTTTATAAAATATTGTTACTGTGTGGATTTTTACCCGTTTAGGAAGCGTTTGGAGCATAGATTATGAATTTATAAAATCTGACGACCCATTACGTTTTACATTACAAATGTATAAGTTGTCCATTATGTATATTATATCCGAGGAGGGTAGGAAGGTGCTAATTTTCAATCGGCGAGTGCCAAAGTGTCTCTGCTCTCCATTCCCTCTCCAGCATTTGGTCGGGGACCTCTTGTCGTTACCGGAATTATGGTATGATTAATGATCGGATAAAACACACAGTAGCCGACCATCAGTTGGGCGATAATCGCATTCCCCAGTGGTTTGTACAAAACGACTGTGTTGCCCAAACTCACCCTTTTGGTCAATTACACGGTCAAGTACGGAAAACGAATTTAGGTCGTTGCGCAATCATAGCACACGCACAAACCAGGCCACGATAAACACCCACCGTCGACGGCCTGTTGCGGCTGGTTATCATTGTGACAAGTTTAGATATTATAATATACAACCTTGTCGGTTAAAACTCTACAACCACAATGTTTGGTTTACACCCTCCCCTCCAGATTTTATATTATAATACTTTTTTATTTTTCGTAAAAACGAGGTTCGTCGTAAAATTTAACTAATTTAAAAAATATATTTTTTTTAAATCTAAAAGCCCGGTTCGTTAAGCATTCTTTAATAAAGGATATTGTTTTTATAAAATATAAATGTACGATGTTAACGGTATGAAAATATATTTTTTCAAAACTGAATAATGACCAGTCTACGTTTTTAGAAAAATCACACCTTTAAAACATAAATTGTTTAAATAAAAACAAATATATATATACATCAATTACGAGTATAATTAACTACAATTATTTAATATGTATTTTTTTATCTTCATATACAATTAAACTATATTTGAAGTGTATATTCTAAAGTACAACTAAATAGCAACATTGAACAATTAAAATTCCTCTAAGAGGTCTTTGTTAGTAGGATACTGCGAATTATGTATATATTACACAGTACATTATTATCCTTACCATAAGATGTATGATATTTCTTTGAATATATTTTTCTGAATGAGATTTATGTCCTACTAAGTCCAGTAAATAACTTTTTTTTTTATACAACTCATCTTTTTGATTTTTACAATTGTTATTTTCGTCCTTGAAATGCGGTTTTTCGATAACGTATATACGGCTTTACTTATTTTTTTCTTTAAAATTTGGCATTGGCATTTTAGACATTAAGTACACAAGTGTATATTATTTTACACATTCACGGTGTACGTATTTTTTTAACCAATGATGTAAACATGGTCATTTCAAATATTTACGTAAGCGTAGAATGACACATTAATTTTGGTGACTAGTTGACATAATCGAACATCTTTTTGAACATTTGTATTGACTTATATATATATGTACATGTGTTTTATTTTTAACACTAACCATACTGTGTTCAAGTCAAAATTAGTAAAGGCGGCCCCGGCCCCGTTGATTATACACCGTGCAGTTTGCGTACTTGTTTTTATTTAAAAAAATTAAGTAAAACCAAAACGATATGGAAATGGTCAAAAATTATTGTTAAAAGACGCCATTGTATGAATTTTGGTAGGCAGAATTCATTAAAACTAATCGAATATGCAAATTAATACGCAACCAAAATTATTAATAACTCAAAGAATATCTATTAAAAAAAAAAAAAAAAAACGATAAAGCCTATGTATTTTTTTTAACAGCTTTCAAAGAAACGGTATGGTTTTCTTGAATATTAATATTGTTGTAAAAAAGAAATATCAAGAAATTATGTTTTTTTACCTAGATTCAGTCAAAAATCTCAATACAACAACTGGAATTCGTGGAAAATAAACTAATATTTTATTAAAATATTATACTTGCTAATGTCGTATCTGACGTCTGTGACAAATAAATCTCAACGAATTATTATTTTAATAATTATTGTTTCTGCAATAAAACGATGAATTACCCTTCTATATAGGTATATTATAATATGTTCGGTGTTAGACATGTTCCATGGTTATACTGAGTAATAATCTAAATTAACAGAAATCACTTAAGTATTCAGCAAGTGTATTAAATAATAAAAAAGGGAAAAAACATATTTTTACTGATAAGTTTTTTTTAGCGAAAAGATATTTATAACCTGTTGATAAAAGATCCTAAGATCTTTTTAGTTATTGATATAGTTTCATTAACATGATTAATGACAAATAACAGTATGGAACCTAATGCTGAAAATGAATTATCAATATAATAATATTTTAAGTTAAATGACGGTCAGTACTTACAAATCAGTGAAACAACCAGCACGCCAAAAGATGGAGAAGTTTATCAAAAGCCATAATGTCTTTGTAATAATTTGTGGCTTAAACATGTTCCACACGTTCTATTATAATATAATGTATACATTGGCATTTTGAAATACAACTACTTAACAATAAGAACACGAGTTACGTAAGGTTGTAATATTGTAATGACATATTTTATAAAATATAAAAAAGTCTAGACAGACAAACTATTTAAACATACATGTAAAACCACTCACTTAACCAAAAGGCTGTAATTAAAAATTAATCACCATATAAATATTTTCAGCTTCCGTGAGGAGCTGAGAAAAATATTACTTTATACTATTTTACTAAGCTCATAAAATATTTTCTCTATAAGTTTTTAATTAAAAACTGTATAACAGAATTTTTTTTTTTTGTCAAAGACACTATTTTAAAAGAAATGGTTTTATATTTGTACGTTAGTTGTATAATAATTATGATTTTCTAGTGGATTCCTTTTATATATAATTGCCTGGTACATCGTTATACTATACTTAAACTACACTGGCCATGTCTCACGTACCTATAAAGGTATATTTGATTTTTTTTTTCATAAGAATCCATTTTGCTACGTTTACCAAAAATAGTGTTTCAGGTGGAAATACATTTTACAAATTACTACTTGTATACAAACGAGTGAGATGAGGGAGCTATTAAAAGACTTTTATCTTTAAGAAAATCATTGGGTTATACTTTATAGAATAGTGCATATTATTCCATTAGTTATAATTTTCTTTTCATTGAGCTCATACCAACGCCCGTTTAAAATATTCGGTTGATTTTCGATCAATCTTAAGTCTATTCTAATTTGTTTTGTTTACTGTATACTATTATAGATCAAAATAAAACCCACATAAATAAGTTAAAAATAAATTCATTTCATATATAAATATAACCTTCATATTTTGCATGGTTTCATTAATTTGCATAAAGGTTTTGTGCCTTATAGTTAATAAGTAGGTGAATACAATTAAAAAAAACGCATTAAGGAAACAAAGGTCAGTGCTAGTTTGAACAAGTTTGTAAAAATATAGAACATGAATAAACATATATTTAATATAATCTTTAAAATGGCATTATTATACTTTTCCTTTTTCACATGTTAATTATAAGCATGAGGTCAATATTATAAAAGATTCAAAGTATAGTTTATTATATGAAAAGAGTAAGAAAGACAAATTTTGAATATTAGTCACCATACGAACTATTGAAACAACTAAATATATCTTGAAAAACACAAAAATGTTATTATATTTTTGTTATTGTTGTATTTGTATCGTTTACGGTTTATATAAGTACTATAATACGAAAAATTATCTTATTATTCGTTTACTAACTCTACATCATAATTAAGATAAATTGTTTTTCATAATAATTATTATTATTGTAATAATGTATGAGTAGTTTACACATAAAACTACAAATATATTATCATGACTATCAGAGGTCCATTCGAGGAGGGAAAATATAAATTAATACAAAATATACTTCAAGGTTTTAGCTTTCCATAAATCTCTATGTTAAATAAGTAACACATAGATATAAAAATGTTTATTGGTTATTTATTGTTTACTTAAGTGTTTTTCATTTCAAAGTATAATTTTGCAGACTAGGTATACAATATAAAATCGCAATAAAACATTTTAATTAAATATTTGTACAATTTTATTCAAATTTGTTTTTAATTTACAATGTAAGAGATACTGTACAGAGCGTTAAGGGTACTAAGAGTTATTTGTTTTGTCGCTCAGGTAAAATTTTGAACATAATAATAATACATTAAATCTAAGTATTTACTTTAAAATGGTTTTTAAATTAATTTTATTAATAACGTGCATTTCAATTGGCAATTGCGTAGAGTTAGATGAGACAGATCAAGTAATTTGTGACAATATAGTTTTTAGACTACCTAATAAAACTAAAACCCGTATGATGCGTAACAAAATTTAAATTATTAATAATAACATATCAATTATTATAATTATAAATAAAAACAATAAAATAATATACAGACTTCTACTACAGTTACTTGGAAACAATTAAGTGTACCCCGTGTTTTAATTAATTATTTTTTTGTTTAGCCCGATATAATTTTTTTTATATGAAGACTATTTATATTTAAACATGTTATTATTAAAAAACGTTAAAATCCTAAATTGTTTTAATTACGTATAGTAAAAAATCTGTATATAAGTTAGAAGATTATTTTTTCTAATACTAACAGTAACAATATATATAAGTATATAATCATTTTAAAAAAAAATTATTTTTTAAAAATAATTTCAATATACCATAAGACAAGCTACTGTACAGCGTAAGAATACTGTAAGTCGATCCTAAGTTAAAGTTTTACTTTTATAGTCAATAATAAATTGTATAAAATATGTGGGGAAAGAACTCTACAAAATGGGTATAGGTATTAAAGGAACATCCTGATTGCAAAAACAACATTAAAAATGTTCAATTTTTTTTCCAGCTTCAGAGGCCGTTCAGGCCCACTGCTGCAACACACACTTCCTTCCATCTTTCTATATCCGTTGCAACCTCCCTGTAGTTTCCAACTCCTAGCGTTGTTAGATCCTTTGAGACTTTATCAAACCATCGTTGTTTAAGTCTGCCTAAGGGCCTCTTTCCTCGTGGCTTCCAACAATTGATCACCCTGTATGTTGATAAATTAGTTTAAATTTAAGCACAGAAAACTATTTATAATTATTATTTTTTATTGAAAATGTACAGCAAAAGCTTGGAATTGATTATGTAATAAAATTTTATAAAATTATAGTATTCAAAATTACAAATTTTCGTTAAAAACAACAAATAGTTTTTACTATCCTACTAAAAGAGGTTTTTAGGCAACTATTTCGCATTTAAGTGTTGACAGTATAGTTTTTCTCATATCATAATAAAAACTAAACCAAAAGACAAAATTAAAATTAAAAATATAGACACGTGCCAGCGATTTGTCATGCCGGCAAAATCTGAGTAAGATAATAAATCAAATGATTTATTACTATAAATGTTTTTTTTCTTATAACAAAATAAAATCATGAACGTGGAATTAAAAACTAAAATTGTATGACATATTCTAAAAAGTATTAATATATAATTACAAAATTGAAAAATGTTGACAAAATAAGATTTAGGTAATTTTTGATAATGTCTAACCGACAGTAATCGTCTTTAAAATGAATTCTTTTGTATAATAACATGGTTACATTTCACAGTTACTGTTGTGAATAGTAAAACATTAGTGCACTTGAAGAACAGTGATGTTGTACCTACAAAGACGTCATCATTACAACAACGATAACGTATCGAAATATTTTTCGATTATTTACTATTTACTTAAGTATGTATTAGACTAAGTGTACTGTACAATTTCACTGTATAACGTTTTTAAACACATATTTGTACAATTTTATTAGACAATGGTTTTTTGTTCACTATATAGAATACAACAGAGCTAAGAGATTCGTTTTAACTTACAATTCGTTTTTACTTTAAAATGATTTTTAAAATCATTATATTATTAACATGTATTTCCATTGGAAATTGTATGGACCTGGATGAGACAGATCAAGTAATTTATTTACATAGTATTTTATTATTAAGATTTATACTAATAATACAACAACCCATTAAAGGTTTATTAAAATATTCATGCCCAGTTGCACCAAATTTGTCGTTATCTATTAGTAAATTATTTACCACCGTAATAAACTAATTTTTGTTAAACTTTATCTTTTGTTAAATTAACTTGTGTTAAATTTACGAGTGTTGCTAAAACGTTGTTTTATATTCAGGTTATTACCAGTATACTGGTTATCGAATAAATGGTATCAGTTATGAGTTAATATTATTATCATACAGCGTCTAATCATAGAGTAATATGAGGGGCCGTTACCTATAATGCCTGTATAACTAAATTGAAGTCAGAACTTAGACTCATTTTTCAGAACTACCATTTTGTATAGTTTAAAATATTGTAAAATGTCATTATATGATATGCTGGTGCACTGTATTTTATCAACAAATGGTATCACGGTTTTTGTCAGTTACACACAACTACTTACAAAACGAAATATTATGATCATACTTGATTTTTACCTTTGGTTTTTATTGTACAGTATTCGTAATTGACGTAATTCATGCATTTTGTTAATAATTAATTAATTATTTAATATTGTAAACAAGTGTAGTTTGTATTTAATAATTAATTATAGATTATATTGTTGAGATAAATACTTGATAAGTATCAGTACATACCTTTTTTCAATCGTCCAAAAGTTTAAAATGTATATTACAATTTTTAACAAATTTATAAAAGAATTTATATCGGTATTATTAAAAATAAAAATAATTTAGTTAATTTTTAGAATTTTTAGGGCATTTTTAAAGGTTTTTAGGACATTAACATCATCAATAATGATAAATAATATTTTATCTGTATTTCGTAGGTTGGTACCTATGAACCAAACAGTAGAATATTTTATTTTTATAAAATGATAGTTCTGAAAAAGGAGTCGAAGTTCCGGCTTCAATTTATGAAAACAACGGCCCCTCTATATTACTCTATGCGTCTAATCAATGATAAACTGATAACGCACATTTCCATTATCAACACTTTAACACAAAATATTGAAAACAAAATTTTACTATAAATACATTTTTACACAGCAATAAATGACCCTCTAATTTAACTCATGATAAAGTACATTTTTAACGACAAATAACATTTAAAACATGGTTTATGCAAATTAATTTATTTTAACCCCAGTTAAACGAGTTTATCTCTGTGTAAATATTTGGTGCAACCCGGCATTAGACTTTTAGTTGTTCCATATAAACAGTTAAGTATAACCCGTTATAAGTCAAATTTTTGTTTAGCCTGGCATATCATTTTTCTTAAATTATGATTATATAATAAATTTAATAAGTGTTTTAATTAATAAAATACGGTAAACCAAGACTAGTTTTTTAAGTATCATAAGAAATACTTAAATTAAGGTATGTTAATTTAAGTATAAAACATATTTATAATTATGTTTTTGGATTTTCTATAATGTTAATCGCTTTAGGTATTAAAAAAAACTTACAGTATAAAATTTGAACGTTGTTAATATATAATAAACAAATAAGTAACAAATAAATAAATTCGGCATTATTCAATTTTTTTTTTACTTAACCGTCTATTTGAATATATTGATATTACTAATACAATTCAATATTAATAAAAATATTATTTTATACAAATTTAAATGTAAGGATATTGGTTTTATGAACTGGCTTAGCTTTTTTTTATTAAAATATAATATTTTGTATTTTTGGAGATATATCCGTGTCTTTATTTTTGTGCTGTACATTTTGTAACCATTATAGGAGCCATCTATTAAAAAAAAATTAAAGCTGATCATATATATATATATTTTTTTTTTAATACATTTTTATTTAAGTAAGTTTATTGGTCTTTTGTAATAAGATATAACCTACAAAATGGGTATAGGTATGGTTTTTAAGGAAAATCAAGGTTTTAATAGGAACACCTTGATTAAAAACAACATTAAATATGTTCAATTATTAATTAATATTGTTCTCTAATGTATATTAATTCAAAAATCATGTTTTAGGCTATACGAAAAGCTTTCAAGTTTGCCATGAAATTTAATAAACACGATAAGAAAGATCATGGTCTTCTTATGGAAGAGTTATTAATGTGTGTCGGTAATCATAATGAAGATATTGTAGACCGATTCTTCAAAGATAATTATCTACGATTAAGAAAACATGTAAGTAAGTTATCATTAAATTTAATTTATTTACCATTTAACAAATAGATTTTAAACTTCAATGTAATTTCATTGCTGTCATTCGAATGGTTTTATTTTTAGTGGTGTATTTTTGTCTTTTTTATCGGATGTTGTCTATACAATATTTAGTACCCTAGTTTTGGATAATCAAATATCACATACTAACGTTCCCAACATTTTATCTTTTCCTCCGTCACAGCTTTAGAAGTTGATAATACATATAAAAAAAATATCAAAATGTCCCAGCCCCCAAATACGCCCTAAATATTACTATTCGTATTTTAAAAAATTATAAGTATATTTGTTTGAGAATTTATCATAAAACAAATTCGCTACAATTCGAGATTAGAGGCCTTATAAATTTATTAACATTTTAATTTAATTTTAAATTTAAATAATTTTGTGTGTCATTTGATACATGGAAGATATGTTTTAATAATTTTTTTGGAAATGTTGACAGCTTGATTCTTTAAAACACGTTAGATTATAGTTTAAAACTACCATTTTGGTAGGGAATAATATATACAAATTAACAGTTCCACACACAATTAAAGTAAACAAATTATAAAACTTTTTTATAGTTATTTTATAGTTCCCATCGAACTATATCTTCCGCTTCGAGTAATCAGTCCTTCAGCAATATAAGTTATTCTGTGTTAAGATGAAAACTTATTTTAAAACAGCTAAAATACTCGAAGCATCATATCTAAAATATATCATCAAATTATTAATATTTTGTATAAGTTATAGCGTCAGCTAATGTTCGACAGTTGATTTACATTGGTATGGACAATTTATAATAAATGGACAAAATTAAAATCATATTATAATAAGATACATAATTTGAAATAAACAAAATTCTCAAGTAAATTATACAAAATTAAGTAGGTATGTTCGGGACGACAAAAACATAGTATATAAATAAACCACTAATTAATAATTGTATTATGATACATTTTTCAAATAATTTTCACTCGTGTTTGCCTGGTATTTCTTTTAAAATTTTGGCACATATAATTTTATTGCACAATGGTGTATGATGTAATATGTATAAGTAACTGATGTTTATAATTCACAAAATTTAAGAAAAATATTTATTTTTGTATTAAAAGTATGTTTAATTTGTTTTTTAGACAATATAACAGAAGAAATATTTAGTGACGTTTTGAAAAAAATTTGTCACATAAAACAATATAATCCAATAGCATTTGCCGAAATTATAGAAGATTTTTTAGATAGTCAAAAATAAATGATACATTGTGTAACGTAATTTAATCATTAGCATTCAAATGGTGACAGAATTTAGAACCGTTTATAAGTTAAGTTTATTTGTTTAATTATACAAGCGTTATATTGTTTTCATATATCAATAATATATTAAATGAAATGTATTTAGTCTAAAATTATTCTATTTTTGTAACAGAAAACATAATATATGAAATAGATAGGAAAATATAATAAAATGGATTCAACATGTACAACTTTTGAGTTTTTAAATTATTTAAAATACAAGCTCCACAGCAATTCAATATGTTTCTAGTTCAGCCCCTTAGTAACATTAGAAAATTGTATATTAGTAGAACAGATTTATAAAGGCTAAAATAAAACATTCAAATCAGAAATTAATTCTTTGGATAATATAAAAAAAGATAAATAGTTGGTAGTTTTTAAATATTGTAGAATAACATATAAATGTTTTCAAAATAAAAAAACTATATGTTCCAACAAAATGAGTGTATTTCGTTAAAATGATCACCCTGTATGTTGATAAATTGGTTTAAATTTAAGTAGGTACATAAAACTATTTATAATTATTATATTTTATTGAAAATACCATAAGACAAAATAAACAAATTTAACAGCAAAATATATAAATTTCGATGGTATTATACCTAAAACAGTTTAATCGATTTTAAGAATTTTGAAAATATTTATACATATTGTATAAAAAAGGGGTACACATTTAAAATATAAAGACACGTGCCAGCGATTTGTCATGCCAGCAAAATCTGAGTAAGATAATAAATCAAATGATTTATTACTATAAATGTTTTTTTTCTTATAACAAAATAAAATCATGAACGTGGAATTAAAAACTAAAATTGTATGACATATTCTAAAAAGTATTAATATATAATTACAAAATTGAAAAATGTTGACAAAATAAGATTTAGGTAATTTTTGATAATGTCTAACCGACTGTAATCGTCTTTAAATTGAATGCTTTTGTGTGATAACATGGTTACATTACACAGTTACTGTTGTGAATAGTAAAACATTAGTGCACTTGAAGAACAGTGATGTTGTACCTACGAATTAATACATTTCCAGACATACTGTTTTTTTTCTATTAAAAATGAGTCCCAACTACCATCTGACACCTCTTAAGCTATTACATGCCTATATTTATATCATTTAGGTATTTTATTAGTACTACAGCTAATAAGACAAACTCTATAGTAAGCACTATGCACTAATAAGTAAGTACTATGCACTATACATTTACTTTTAATACTGGCCTCACATACTTTTCCCGCGCAAAGCAGTTTTGATGGGAAAAAATTTGTAATTTATCCTATAGAAATGACTGTGATAGTCCGACGAAAAAATGGCAATTGACAAAGTATCCTCATTGCCGTATTAATAAGTATACATTATAGTTCAAACTCTAATTTGAGATTTTTCGAAAGTTTGCCTATACTTAACTCCTAAGAAATGGCTATATTGAACATAATATATATTTTTTTTTTAGACAATGTAGTTGAAGAAGCGTTTTCTGAAATAGTGAAGGATATTTGTGTCGCAGCAAAATATAATCCAATAGAATACACTAAAAAAATGATGACGTTTTTAAGTATGATAAACGAATCACTAAAAAAAATCATGCAGGAGCATCAAGTTCAACCACTGCCAAACTTTACACTAGTTTGATATTAATTTTTTTTTTTGTAATGAATGAAAATAAAAAAAAAACATCACATTAAATACTTAAATATCAACAAATCACTTTAAAATTTTAATATGCTAAGACCTTTAGGAATTTTAATAATGTATTATACTTAAATGGAAAATAAAAATAAAATCAACCTTAATGATATTTCAAAATCAATTTTTATTATTTTGATAGTTGTGACTCTTGACTATAAAATCATCAACAAATACATTGTTAAGCTTCCTTAACAGCAAAGCTAAGGTAGTTAGGCGAGCTCGGTAAATTTTCATTCTCAGTCATGTTAAAAACCATTCTACAACATTATAAAATCTGCATATCTGGTCTTTTTATGATAATAAAGGACATGGATAAGACAATTATGAACATGTTTATAATTATTAATAGAAAAGAAAAACTTGCACCTAAACATCCATATTGAAGTATCAAAGGGGAGGAGTGAAGAAAACGGTTAAAGTTTAAATTTATTAGCAAGCTCAATAATGAGCATTGCACTTACAAGGCCAAATGCATACATTAGAAGACTTGGGAAATCAAATAGACTTTAATTAATTAACAACCAAAAAAGCGTTTACTTCAAATAGCAATGAATAGATACCATTAAATATAATTTAATATCGGTCATCTTGTCAAAAATAGCTATTAAAAGCATTCGCATACTTATTAAAATATAAATATTTTCAAACAGTAATTCACAATAAATATGTTATTGAGTAGTTTTATTATTTTAAATATTTTTTTTTTAAAGATGTTTAGGTCAAACGAATGGGTGCGACGACATTATTTGAACCCGCCAAGTGTTTATTGCACTAAATAACTTATAAATCCTTTATTTTTATCGTTTCATTATAACCAAAAATAAATAAAGTTATAAATTATTTTATATCTCACTTTCGAAGACCCCCGCAAAGACTCGTTTACGAACCACATAAGGCTATAAAGCCATTTGACTTAAGTGGTATATTCTACATAGTACAAATCAAAATTGATCGGTTTTTTCGCAACAGTTAGATATAACATTTTCCTATCGAAAAATAAAGTTTAATACACAATTTAAAAAAAAAAAAAAGAAGTCAAAATAATACTCTTCCTTTTATAGTAAATTAACATAATACATAGTACATGCGGTTAACGGTTATAGACAATTGTATGTAACATATCTACAGATAGAAACACAACAAAAAAACATTATTCCCACACAGAAACTTGATCACATGTTGCTCAATTCCGATGGATTTAAAATGTGTATTGCCATTTGAGGTAAAGCTTAAATCGTTAGTCTACAATATTCGATATAGCAGTTAAAGTAATGGACATTTTGCATACAACTAAAATTGCAGTGTTGCGTCAAAATCCTTGGCCGCTAAATAAAATAAAGCGTTTATAATTATTATCGCTTTTTATGTTAACGAATATTTGAGTTTGATATTTCATGTTCACAATCCAACATTTAACCGCTGTCGTTGTTTTATTCGATTTCGGTTGACATTTAGCCGAATTGCAGATGTGTCCCATTTGATTTCACCGTGTACAATAGAGCTATACCCTAATACACCGGAATCGTTGCCAATTTGGATTTTAATGGCCATAATATTAACCGCCTGGTCCAACCACATACACCCTTACGGCAATACTGTTATTGTGATAATAATAATTAATCGACCGCCACAATAATAATGTGTTGTTGCCAAAACTGTTAGCAAACAAACAGCGAATTCCACAAAAGGTCATTAAAACATGTGCAGGTAGCTTCTGATCATTTAACCTCGTTATTTGTTTTTTATTCGAAACGTTATCTCTGTTTTTTGCCTTTTCGTTTTACAATGACAATAATAATAATAGTACATTTTTGTATAATGATGATCAATTTTTATTATTAGACGACACGGCGAGGTTAGAACTGACTTTTTTTTTTTAATTAGATTATACATACATGAGCGAGTTTGAGGGTAAGGGGGCTGCAGCTTGGTTTTTACAAAAAAATATTAAGTATAGATATCGAAAAAATAAAAACGCCACCCCATAGATAAAGTTAGATTTTCGATTTAAAATTTTGGTATGCCTAAAAAAAATTCAAATGTAATTCGAGAATTATCACTGGATTTTCAAAAGTAAACAACAATAATTTTGGAGGTCTTCAAAAGAGAATATTGAAAATCACCTTCCTAAGAAACCTAGCAAATTTGTCAACAAATGCATTAAAAACTTTAAATCCAACATTGGGAAGTATGTCTAATGTAGCACCGCTTATTGGTCTAAAACACATGAAAACTAGTTGTGCTCCGACCCCCTTAAGGGGTAGATTTACTAAATTCTCACAATGTATAGAGAAAAACTTTATCTATGGGGTGGCGTTTTTATTTTTTTGATAACTATACTTAATATTTTTTCGTAAAACCCATACTGCGGCCCACTTAAATGTATGTTCAACGGTAAAATTGGAATAAAATATACTATTACCCGTTAATAAAGATAAGATCTGAGCCCCAAAATCTATGTTGATGACCTCAGGAGATGCCAAACACATTATAATTCCAGTTCGACTTATACTTCAACGTTAGAACACTTTTTGCTTGCGACAAACGTTTTAAGAAACGACCAATCAGCTCCATTTCAACACAATGAAATAGTTGGCAGTTATGTTTTCAAGGTAACCGTAGCAATACAATACAGAGTCAGGCATGGTTAGGTTCGGTGAAGTTTCGGTACGTATGGGTAGAATTGGTTGGAATAAGTTAGAAGTTAAAAATAGTATTCACAAGGTTTGTTTCAGAAATTAATTCTTAAAAATACAATGCTAATATACATACCAATTGGATTTATCTATTGAATCAAGAATGATGTAATGAAACATAATCACTGTCGATACCCAGTTTTGAATAAATACTTTTACTAAATGAAATTCAAAAAATTGATAATCAGCAAATTTGTTGTGTAATCGTGAATTGTATTATATAGCTTTAAGTTGTTTATATCATAATTCTATATTTGTGTTAAAGATTTTTTGGCAAAAATGAATTAGACCGCTAAACAAATAAGTTAATTTTAGACTTTGCTAAAAGAGGGCTCTTAGTTATAGCTGACGAGCCAGCCATTTTTATCTAAGTTATGAAGTTTTGTTCGAAAATAAACACAAGCGTCTAATGTAAAATACAATTTTTAAAGCTCATTTGCCAATTGTTACAGAAAGCGATACTGGCCCATTTAGACTTGAAGTAGAATAAGTGAGTCATTAAGAAAAAAATTACATCATTTTCAGACATCCGATAGGTAATAGCGGTCCATTCGGCTACGAACGTTTCTGACACTGTAATCTATTTAGTCGACCCATGGCCACCAACTAACTGCTGTAACGTTTCTGCTTTAGACGTGCAATTATGAGAGTGTAGGCGTAAAGAGGTAATTTTCAATTTTATCAAAACTGACATAAAAATTTTTAAAAAAACTAATCTAATAGCGCTTTTTATTGTCAAGTATTACACAGACTACGTAGTCCCATCCACTATTCTGTTTTTGTCTTATGCCCACTGCACATTATACAGCTGTTGGATTTATCTATTTGGTTAGAGGTGCAGCTTCGGGGAGGGGCTCAAGTGTGTACCCCTTTAGGGGGCATTTACCCCTGAGGCCATTATACTATTATGGATGCCAAATTGATTAAAGTATCACAACTTTTTTTCAAGCAAAATTTTACGACTGACGTTGAAA